TGAATCCATCGAGATCTGCTTCTCTGATCCATCTCTCCATCTCATCTGCAACCTTCTGAGGGGTGCCCACGCCAACAGGCCCAAGACCACCGATCGCAGCCTTCTCGGCCACGACCCTCGGCGTCCATCTCGGCACATCGGGGCTTGTTGTCGTGAACGCGTCCAGCATACTTCTGACTTTGTGAGCCTCGGTCGAATCCGCAGCCGTGATGTCCTGGTCGAGAGGGATCTTGGAAATGTCGATTCCAGTCCATCCGGAGAACAACACGAGCCCTCCAATAGTCGAGGCATATTTCTTGGCCTCTGCCAACTTCTCTTGAGCCTCTTCTTCGGTTCGCCCAATGATTGGGGTGAATGTTCCAAAGAACTTGATGGATTGCGGATCGCGCCCTTTTTCCTTGACCAGTTGCCGGATCTTGTCGATCTTGGGTCTGAGCACTAGCGGGCTATGTGACGAGACAAAGATTGCTTCCGCGTGTGTGGCAGCAAAAGCAGATCCAGCTGGGGAAGTGCCGGCCTGGAAGAGAAATGGTGTTCGCTGAGGCGATGGATCCACGATATGTCGAGAGTCCAGGTTGAAATATTTTCCATGGTGATGAATCGTTCGCACCTTGTCTGGGTCGATATATGTGTCCGCTTCGGGGTTTGGAGCGAGAGCGTCGTCTGCCCAAGAACCTTCCCAGAGCCTTGTGAGTGATTGTCAGTAATTATACGCCAGTCTATCAGTGCGCGCTGATGGCAGTACTCACTTGTACAGGACTCTTAGATACTCGTCCGCCTGCAGGTACCGCTCATCATGGTCAATGGGGTTGTCCAGACCAATAGCCTTGAATGCCGCCTTTTTCCACGATGTCACAATATTCCAGCCAATGCGGCCATTGGTAAGATGGTCGAGAGTCGAAAAGCGCTTTGCCAGCAGGAACGGAGGCTCAAAGGTAGTCGACGCAGTGATACCGAAGGCGAGATTCTTGGTCACCGCGGCCATCGCAGAGATAGGCTGTCGGTCTCATGGTTAGTTACCATTATCACCCCGCGTTGATCTGCACGCGCCAACAACTTACGATGGTCGGATCGGTCATGGGCCACTGGGCAGCACGACGGATGCAATTGTCGAGACTGTCTTCGTACGTATCATAGCCTCCATACGTGTCGGCGAGAAACAGGGCGTTGATGTCACCACGCTCCAGAATCTTTGCCAGCTCGATCCAGTAGTCGAGTTTCCTCTTTGTCGCCGACTTATCCTTAGGGTTCTATACATGCTTTCAGTCCCAGTGAACTCTTTCAGAAGAAGATTCAATTTCCATCTCAGGGCAAAGAAGAACTGACCTTCCATTGACCAGGTGATAGATGTCCGACTGTTGACATATCAAAAGCATTGAGCAGGATTTGTTTCTTCACTGGCTCTTGAGAGCCGTTGGCATCTTGGAGGGAACCCATATCGATTGGAGCTTTACTGGCCACGCAGACAACGACGTGAAGCAAATTGATGAAGAGATTCACTTTGCCAAAATCCGACACATTTTCTCGAAGGAATGCTATCTCCAACTCTATGGTCCCATGTCCGGTCTCGCACCCGAAAACTGCAGGTGTAAACACTGTGCCCCTCAGGTGAGTTTACGCATCATCCTCCACCACCACCGCTACCCTCGCCCGTCACTCCACAAGAGAGTCGCCGGATCCGAGTCAACGCATGCGTGCAAAGACGTGCTTGGACGTGTAAAGAGATCTTCGCCACGCCTTGATGATGCCCAGGATCGGCAGGCAAGCAAAGGGTTCTCCGCTCTGCGACCAAGGGCCGCCAGCCCTGAGCGGGCGCTATTGCGTGATTTTAGGTCCGATTCCACGATTTCCCTCCCCCATCCCAAGCGTAACGCTTTGGCTGTGTAACAAAGTCGGAGTATCTGGGATTGGATCTGACTTGGATACCCACGCATTAAAACAGGGTTTTACAGAGATAAGAGCAGGACCGGTGGAAAATCCCGTACGAGAAAATTCTTCCCAGCGAGACGTGGGTGGTTCATTTTCAGTTCGGAACACGAGGGGAGAAGAGATAAACAAGATACCCGCTTTGGAGAGCTTCGCGTTTCTTTTTTTTTCTTTCAAATGACAATTGACCTAACTAGCAGTGTTTGTATTTTTGAGTGGGTACTTTTGTATATTATGTACAGTACCTAGTACTAGGTAGGTAATAATATGGTAAATCTGGTAACTAATCTGGTGCCATTTCATTACATGGCTACCTAGGTACCTACTTGGGTAGTTACCTACATACCCCTGTACCTGGCTGAATCCAAGAGTCGCCATCAGGGGCCTTCGATGTTCAATGTCCCATACGTGGATAGTATGCGTTTACGCCTCTAGGATCTTTGTGGGAGGGAACTCTTGAATGAGGCGAGGTGTGTCGTCGACTGGAGATACCTGGTGTTCGGACCCCAGATGGTGTTGGTGGGGTGGATACTCCTCGTCAATCTCGTCGGCGGGGGTTCTGGGAACAGAGAAACAGAGTCAGTCCAAGTCAGTGAGTGGTTTGATATTGTAAGTTGGGGATCTGATAATAACAGAGGGTGATTTTTTTTTTAATGTGAAGGGACAAAAGGAGATCTGTTATACCTTCGTCTCTTGATATACCACGAGATCCAGTGTGCAAACAACATCAGGCAGATGGCGTTGCCGAGCACAAAGGGGTAACCCTTGACGAATCTCGGGGCGTCGACCGTCTTGAAGACCAGCAGTGGGGTCCACGCCGTGGTGGACTGCGAGACCGTGTTGATCAGCACGAGCGTAAAAGCCCGCTCGGCCGGCGAATAGCGCAGCTGGGTGTTGACCCAGCCGTAGAGGACGCTCGACATGGCGACGGCTGAGTACGTGGTCATGAAGGCGAACCACAGGGCCGACTCGGGCACGTTCCACACCACGAGGATGATGAGCCCGATGCTGTTCCAGACGTGGGCGACGGTGATGGCCCAGGCGGGGCCCCAGAGGAGATCCGACGAGAAACAGACGAAGAGGACGTAGAAGATGCCCAGGGCCGGCGAGATGGCGCCCAGCTGGTTGAGCCGCCCGGCCGAGTACCGCTTCAGGCTCTTGAGCCACAGCAGGTAGCCGCCCGACGACGTGTTGATGCTGCCGTTCCAGAAGAAGATGTCGAGCAGCAGAAACGCCCACACCTGCCACGACATGGCCGCCTTTTTCAGCGTCCCCAGCGTGAAGTGTCCAGACGTGGCGTGGCCCGTCCGCTCGAGCCGCTTCTTCGCGACCGCGAGGTCATGGTCCTTGATAAACAGCCGATTCGGAATGTCCGGCGTGCCGGGGAGGAGGAAGTAACCCAAAAAGCCGACCGGGATGGTTATCAGAGCACAGATGATGTACCTGTCGGGAGAAGACTCGGGTTAACAATGTCTTTGAGAGAAGGCTTAGTGGAACGAAGAGCGTGTCGGTAAGAAACGTACATCCATCGCCAGCCGGCCAGTCCTGCAACCCCTTCCAATTGCTCTGAAGCGGCAGACTGTAGGAGAGCGGCAGTGAGGGTTCCGAGAGTCAGGCCAACATAGAAGAAGCCGCCTCGACGAGCTATCTCATGTCCACGATACCACGAACCGAAGATGAAATGGACGGCGGGAAAATAAGCGGCCTGTCACACGCGTTAGTCTTTTGCACCCAAGCAGTCCTGCTGTCACTGACCTCAAACCAGCCGACCAAGAACCGGTATGCCATCAGCTCAGCATAGCTATTGACCCGATATTGCAACAACGTGAAGACCCCCCACAGGATATCCAGTAGAGGGACTAGCCAGTGCATGGGTATGCGAGTGAAGAGGAACATGAATGGAATCTGGCCCAGAACGGCACCGACGACATAGATGGTCTGGACATGGACCAGTTCGTTTCCATTGAAGCCCTGATTTGACGAATGAGAATTCTTGAAAGACACCAAAGATTTCAAGGAGTCATGTCGTGATACTCACCAAGTCTTCCTTGAGGCCTGCGACGTATGCATTGTCTACAGACTTGATCAGCAACCATAGCCCTGAGTACCCTCGCCTTGGGGTTGTGGTGGCTCACTGATATTTGCCTGGTCGATATACTTGACCCAGTACGCTAGAAAGACGTAGGGCACAATCAGGAGATCGAGTTTGGTGATGAGCTTGCGTTCCTCCTTTGTGTCATCTGGCGAGAACCAGCGGATTTGGTACCATTTTCGAGGACCTGTCGTCTTGTCCATGTTCGTTGGCTCCAGCCTTCCAGATCAATGCAGTTTCACCCCTCGCATCTACCTTTTTTCGAAGGCCTCTGAGGGCAATTTTTCTCTCATATACCCATGTCCCGTCACCGTGACGACGCGGTCAAGGATCTGACCGTGGGAGGATCGCCTTCGCCTCCTGACGACATGTCGCCGTTGAATGGCGAATCCATGTAGCCACGAGGACTAGCTGCCTCAACGACCTCCCCCCCTGCTTAGTAGTTGCATTGTCATCGCTGCAGCTCTAGACAAAGTGACAGCCGGTGTGAATGGGGATCCGAAACCATGGCCCTGGCTCTTTCTCACTCTGTTATCCCCTTCTCGTCGATCCGCTTGTGTGTGTGTATCAAACCCCCACCCTCGTATGTATCGTCAGGTAAAATGGTCGGGGGTTGGCAAAACGGTGTGGCCAATACAAAGAACTGGAAAAAAACCCCAATACTATCTGAGAAATAATGTCGTCCAACTCCGAATGTTGCCCGTTTTACCCTTTGGACGACAAACGTCTTGACGGCTGTGGGTTCTGGATCGATGGTGTCAAATAGTGGGTCGTGTTCGTGATGGGTCGCAATCCGTTTCCCTTTCTCTCTCAGCGCCGGGTATGGATACCCACGAGTCAATAGTCGTCAACATGTGAGGATCTCGCGAAAAGAGGACCGGCACATGAAACGAGCAGGGTGTATAATCTTCATGTCTACACTGGTCAATCCTGGTGTTGTACCCGTTTCCCAAGAAGGCGTTCCAAGAACAAACCGCACAACATGGCCAATGTCGATGTTATAGATCCATTCCAGGTCAGCGCGGTCAGCATCGAACAAGCACACTCGCAGCCGAGGCTGAAGAAAGAGGCACTGGTGGTGGTAGAGGAGAGCAACCCAGCTGAAGCCTTGGACAGTGCCAGGCCCCTTGAGGAGACGCCCAAGATCGAGACACAGCCTGACGGTCGCCCTGCAAACACCCTCCATGAAGCATATCCCAAATCCAATGTACAGCTTCTTGACCATCACATTGATGAAGGGAGAAGTCTAAAGGTCGTCATCATCGGCGCCGGGCTGTCTGGTATCCTCGCCGGGATATTACTGCCAGTCAAGGTTCCCAAGATTGAACTGATCATCCTCGAAAAGAACGACGACGTGGTACGTGTGCTGCAGAACCTCTCCCCCCTTTCTCCCCTCAACTTTGCTAACCTACTCGTTTCAATTCGCCAGGGAGGGACATGGCTGGAAAACGTATATCCCGGCGTCAGATGTGACATTCCCTCACATGTCTATCAGTCGACCTTTACTCCATTCACTCAATGGTCACAACAATTCGCCGAGGGCCATGAGATTCTGCACTACTGGCAGACCCAGGCCAGGAAGTACGACGTCTACAAGTACATCAAGTTTGGCCGGCGGGTCCAGGACGTTGACTGGAACGACCAAGACGGCCAGTGGACCATCACCGGGGTGAATCCCAAGACCGGCGAGTCTTTCACGGAGAAAGCAGACTTTGTGTTGCCGGCCATAGGCCGTTTCAATGATTGGAGGCTCCCGGCGTACCCTGGAGTGTCCGACTATCAGGGTCACCTTCGACATACCTCGAACTGGGACCCGTCGTTTGATCCCAAGGGCAAGAAGATCGCCATCATCGGCAACGGGGCCAGCGGGATCCAGGTGCTCCCGAATCTGCAGCCCCTTGCGAAGCACATTGACCACTACGCCCGGAGCAGGACGTGGATTGCCGGCTCGTGGGCCGGCGACGAGCGCACCTTCGAGCCGCAGTGGTACTCGGAGGAGCAGAAAAAGGAGTTTCTCGACCCGGAGAAGTACCTCAAGTTCCGCAAGGAGCTCGAGGACAAGTACTGGCGACGGTTCCCGTCGACGTTCCGCGGGTCCGAGGAGAACCTCGCGATGCGCGACCGCTTCATCCAGATCATGGCGCAGCGGCTGGCCAAGAAGCCCGAGCTGCTCGACCTCCTCGTGCCAGACTTCAATCCAAACTGTCGCCGCCTCACGCCGGGGCCGGGCTACCTCGAGGCCCTGACGGCCGACAACGTCACGCTGATCCAGGACCCCATCAAGCGCTTCACCGCCACGGGCATCGAGACCGCCACGGGCGAACACCGCGAGGTGGACGCGGTCCTGTGCGCGACGGGCGCCGCCATCGACTTTGTGCCGCCCTTCAACGTGCGCGCCCGCGGGGTGAATCTCAAAGAAGCGTGGCGGCCTCTGGGCGACGGGGAGAAAGTCGACGCCAGCCACTTCGGCTGGCCGTACACGTACCTGGGGCTGGCGGTGCCCGACGTGCCCAACCTCCTGTTCATCCACGGGCCGCACGGGGCGGGACCGTCGGGAACCGTCCCGCACAGCGTCGAGGTCCAGGTGACGTACTACGCGAAGCTGCTGCGCAAGGTGTCGACGCAGGGCATCAAGGCCATGTGGCCGTCGCGGCGGGCGGCCGACGACTTTGTCGCCTACGCCGACGCCTTCTTCCCCACCACCGTGCTGACCGACAACTGCAGCTCGTGGGCCAACGGCGGCAAGCCGGGCGGCCGCGTCCACGGCGTCTGGCCCGGGAGTGCCGGACACGTCACCCTGGTGCGCAAGGAGCCGCGCTGGGAGGACTGGGAGTACGAGTATCTGCACGAGAGCGGCAACCGGCTCATTGGCTGGTTCGGCAATGGGTGGACGAAGAAGGAGAGGGACGACACCGAGGACATGACGCCGTATCTGCAGCTCGAGGGCACTGTAGATCTAAGACTGCTGCATGAGAAGTGGTGGGAATAGTAGCACCAACTCAATCTCTCTTTGTTCGTGCCCCTGAGAAGCAAGATCCATCCGTTGAAATATCTAGACAAAGGCGTCGAGATTCAGCACCTCAGAATAAAAACTCACAAGTCCTGGTTCGTTCTAGTTCTATAATTTTTTGGTGGGGGAATCACAATACAACCATCATTTGTTTCCAGATCGGTGCCTTTCTGGCATATTTCACTTGACCCTGACAACCAATCTGCCCCCACTGATTTCACCCCTACGCATCGAATCCAAAGCATCATTGACGGCGTCGAATCCTTCCCTCACCCCCAAGATCGTGGGAGGCACCAAAAGACCTTGTGCCAGTAGTCGCTCAAGCCAGAGCATCAGTGCCTCGCCCAGTTCCGGGATCTCGTGGAAGACTTTGATCGGAACGGTGTGGAAGTTGATATTGGCTGGTGGCGACTCCTTCGGCAGCCCGGTCAAACCTACTAGGTGGGCGGCAGGGCGCGCTGCATCTACCCCTAGTGTCTTTGTCGGCACACTCGTCGAATCGTCGTCGACGGGGTCGGCGTGCCGTTCTAGGCACTGCAGTAAGTGTTTGGCGGTGTCTCGTCCAACTGTGTCGACGGCAAATCGAAGTCTGTTTTTCGTCACGGATCTTGTTATCTCAATCGCCCTCTCCGGATTGTGGTTGTCAACAACGATATCCGGCTTGGTTTTCGGAGCTGACGACACAGTCAGAGCATGTTTCCGGCAGTCCATAATGCTGATTGTCCGTAGCCCAAGAAGCCTGGCAATCTGGTTGAGCATAAAAGCACTAGTAGAAGAACCACCCCAGATAGCGAGCCAATCCCCTGGTTGAGCCTTCTCAGCCTCGTTGATTCCATTCAAGCACTCCGACCTGATGTCTTCTGGAAGTCGCTGAGGGTCCAATTGTCTCAATATAGAGAGTAGATCCGGTCCATTTGCTACTTTGGAGAAGTCGAGCCCAACACAAATACCGAGACACAGAGCTGCAGCGACGAATGCCACACCTAGCGCTGCCCCCGATTCTGGAGCTATGTTGGGTGGCAGTCGGCAAGTGTTGAAATCGGTGGCGACGACACATTGCTGGTACGCGGCTTTGCGAAGGTCTCTATAGTCGGTGGAAATGACAATGACCAAGTCGCCAGGTTTGAACCGTGAATCCCGCTTCGGACTTACGGCAACCTCTCCTACCAGCTCACGACCTGATATGTAAGGTAGTTGTGGGATGCCGAAGTTGAAATCCCTAACGTGTGTTAGTAACAAAGACAGGCGGCTCCTCTCCAACAGGCCAGGGGTTTCTTTACGGTGCTTTCCAATCAATCGGGTTGAGACCGATCACTCTATTCCAGACCAGAAGTTCTCGGCTATCCAAAAGTGATGGGATGGGGTGATCTATCACCTCTGCGTAAGGCTGTTTGGGTCCATGGAGCAGCAGGGCACGCTGTTGCGTTGAGATATTCGGCAATGATGAAGAGGACGACGATGATTTTGATGAGGGGTTTTCAATCTCTTTGACGGTAAACTCGACATTGATCTCTTTGGCTGTACTCGTGGTCCTCAAAGACCGGAAGAGTCGAACGATACCCATGGCCGCTGCAGCGTGAATCAGGTGTGCTGCTCAGTACTGTTCAGTGCCAAATGCAAGATATTCCGTCCGCCAGATCATGAAGTCGACCCAGAATTTTGGACAACTAATCTGAAAAGCGAGATCGGATAACGGCAGCCACTCCGGGCATCTCATCGTAAGCAATATTGGTACGGGTCTTGTAAAGACTTTGACACAGGGTTTTCAAGACCTGGTGGTATTGGGGATGCAGGTATCGCGTATCGCTTGGTAAGAAAGAGGGGGTTATCCGCTTTCATGTACAATGAATACCTTGCTCACGGTACTGATGCTGCGATTGAACGACCCTATGTCGTGCTCAGGCTCCGCCGTCGCGACATCGCCCAACTCTCCCATGCGCGCCTAATTGCGGTTCCAAGACGAACATGTCCGCCCCGAGGTCCTCTAGATGGATCTTTTCCGCCCCAGCGAGTTGGTAAACATTGATTACCAGAACAAGATTTTGCTCTCACGTTCAGGCCATGCTGAAGCAGGTTGGTCACCCAGAAAAGCCGATAACCAGAATCCGCACATGGTCCACTTTCACTTGCAGAAGCATTCCAAGAGGATGGTTTGGAGAAGTGCGGAAACGGTTCTCGTATTGCGTGCTATTGAAGACAATGACGCGATCCAGTTCTTGGGTCAAGGGTCAGCGCCGCACAAGTGACCGCAAGCTAGAGACCAAAGGGTAATACTTGGCCAAGAAGATATCTTGATGCTGATGTCGAGCACCAGAGGAGATTGTGAGCCGACATTCAGACGTTGAAGCACCGAGAGACAAGATAACAGTCCGTCGTCTGTGATAGCAAACATGGCGGCAGAGGTTGGAAGTGCGCAGGCAAATGCGGCCAATGGTACGAATGGCACCACGCGGCTTGGCAGCGGAACCAAGAAGCAACTCATCCTCAACGCCTTTGCCATGAACACGCCTGGTCACCTTTCACCCGGGCTTTGGCGACATCCTCGAAACAAAACATACAACTATAAGAAATTGGATTTCTGGACAGACCTTGCTAAACTTCTGGATGAGGCTGGTTTCCATGCCTTGTTTCTTGCCGATGTCCTCGGAGCTTATGATGGTAGGTGGAGCAAACCAGGACAATCGTCCTTCTCCTGTGTTGTATAGACATTTCCAATCACCCTCAACCTCCCTTTCTCAGCCTTTGCACGATCCTGCAGCCCTACTCTGTTCCGCGTCCCTTGAGTGTCCTTCTGTGCTGGCAAATGTGGGCTCCTGGATCAAGGAAATGAATAGAAATGAACACAAGCTGAAGGCAAAATAGTCTACAAAGGTCCAGCCAATGCAGGTCCCGCCCTGGGATCCGGCGCCCAGTTTCCTGTCAACGACCCGCTATACCTAGTCCCCGCCATGGCCGCTGTGACGAAGAACCTTGCGTTTGGAATCACCGCCAGCACAACTTATGAGCAACCGTATTCTCTTGCCAGACGGTTCTCGACAGTGGATCATCTGAGCAACGGGCGTGTGGCTTGGAACATTGTGACCTCTTACCTCGACAGTGCAGCTCGCAATTTTGGTCTGTCCCAACAGGTCGAACACGATGCGCGGTACGAGCTAGCAGATGAGTACATGGAGGTCTTGTACAAGCTGTGGGAGGGCAGCTGGCGTGGGGATGCCGTAGTGGCGGACAAGGAGACTGGAGTCTATGCGCTGGGTGAACGAGTTCGACAAATTAACCACAAGGGCAAGCACTTCAATGTCCCCGGTCCTCACATCTGCGAACCCTCCCCACAACGCACCCCCTTCCTCTTCCAAGCAGGAACTTCCAAGAGTGGGCGAGTATTTGGTGCTAAGCACGCAGAAGTGATATTCGCCGGAGCGCAACTGCCGGAAAAACTCAAGCCCTCGGTCGAAGCGATCCGTCAGCTAGCGCGTGAAGCTGGTCGAGATCCATATCATGTCAAGATCATTGCGAGCATGTGTGTCATTGTCGCTGAGACGGACGAGGCGGCTAAGAAGAAACAGGAGGAATTCCTTTCTTATGGAAATCGAGAGGGAGCCCTCGCACTGTTCGGGGGTTGGACTGGAGTGGATCTTTCCACTTACTCGGATGACGAAGATTTTCGGTTTGTCAAGATGCCTATGATCAATTCTATTGTCAATGGATGGGCAGACACAGTCCCGGGAAGTGAAAACCTGAAGTGGAACAAGTCGCGCATCGCTGACTACTTGTTATTGGGCGGCATGAACGCAAAGATAGTAGGATCACCCTCGACGGTGGCAGATGAGCTTGAACGCTGGGTGGAGGTGGCAGACGTGGATGGGTTCAACTTGTCTCATGTGGTGAACCCTGGCTCTTTCGAGGACATTATTGAGTTTCTGTTGCCCGAACTTCGAGCCAGGGGCCTTTTTCGAGCTGGACCCGAGAAGCAGGGGGCCACCGCCCGAGAGCAGTTTTTCGGAACACCTTGGCTGTTGAGTGACCATCCAGGGAGCAAGTTCAAGTGGGACATACACGACGAGACACCTCGATACTTGCAGGCGCAGTAGGAGGTGTTGTTGTTGTTGTTGCTGTTGCTGTGTGCAGGTCCTCCAGTCGGCGCAGCTTCGCACAAAAGGGTATGATTAGCTGAGGGATATGTTCTTTGTACCTTGCCATGTGCAGTTGTGGATACTAGAAGGTGGTCTCTGGTGTACCATGAATTGTCATCGGCGATGCAATGTGAGAAGTTGACAATGATGAGCCTTGTCGTCCAAGGGCCAGTCTTAACTAAATAAGTGCAGTGGGCCAAGCCTGGAGTAGCCACTGACAGCCTAGAAGGGCTCGGCTAGGCGACAGGCAACAGGCGTCCCGTGGTACCCGTCCGACGCCGCCGTCGCTGTTTCTGACGTAGTGATTCGGTACGAGTTGCTATTCTAGTGGCTCACTAGACACTCGTAGGTCGGGGAAGCAGGCGGGCACTAATACCAACAGGTAGCTATCTCGCTTCTCACATTAACCACACACCACACTGCACGCCCTCAAGCATACCGAGTGGAAGCTATTAGAAGAGGAAATAGATGCTGCGTCGAGACAGGGTTGACTCACCGCCTCTACCGCTTGCTACAAGAATTGCAAATAATGGAGAGCGGTGTTCGAGTTGAAATTTGTATGCGGGATGCCATGTCCTTGCTCATTGAATAGCAAATGAGTATCAAGGCGGCTTGGCTTGTCACCATCTCATACAAATTAGTTCACATTCATCGCTGACAAAGAGCTTCAACTTCCCCAATTCCTGACCGAAAATTGTGAGTTGAGACAAAGCTGACCGGTCACAGTAACCTCGACTATTCCTCTGCTCTGCCTCGTCACTCCTTTCAACAGACAGCCAGACAATTGGCACCTTCGCAAGTCGGCACGTTGGCACGTCCTATATCGACACCGCCTTTTGATCTCCTTTC